TTGCAACAAGATTAGTCCCAGAGCTAAGGGTATGTCCTTCGAGAAGAGGTTAAGGGAAATCGACCTGACGACACTGGAGAACAGGAGAGATAGGGGGGACATGATAACGGCATACAAAATACTGAGAGGAACTGACTTGGTGGACAAAGGATGTTCCAGAGATGGGACACAGCAACAAAGGGACACAGTTGGAAGTTGAAGGCACAGATGAATCACAGGGATGTTAGGAAGTATTTCTTCAGCCACAGAGTAGTCAGGAAGTGGAATATTTTGGGAAGCGATGTAGTGGAGGCAGGATCCATATATAGCTTTAAGCATAGGTATGATAAAGCTCACGGTTCAGGGAGTGTGACCTAGTAGCGACCAGTGAAGAAGCGGGGCCAGGAGCTAGGACTCGACCCCTGCAATCTCAACTAGGTAAGTACGCGCGCGCACACACACACACACACACACACACACACACACACACACAGGACAGGAGGGTCAGGGGAGACATGATAACGACATACAAAATACTGCATGGAATAGACAAGGTGGACAGAAACAGGATGTTCCAGAGATGGGACACAGAAACAAGAGGTCACAATTGGAAGCTGAAGACTCAGATGAGTCAAAGGGATGTTAGGAAGTATTTCTTCAGTCATAGAGTAGTTAGGAAGTGGAATAGTCTGGCAAGCGATGTAGTGGAGGCAGGAACTATACATAGTTTTAAGACGAGGTATGATAAAGCTCATGGAGCAGGGGGAGAGAGGACCTAGTAGCTGTCGGTGAAGAGGCGGGGCCAGGAGCTGAGTCTCGACCCATGCAACCACAATTAGGTGAGCAACACACACACACACACACACACACAAATACCCCACACACACACACACACACACACACACACACACACAAATACACACACACACAAATACACACACACACACACACACACACACACACACACACACACACACACACAAATACACACAAATACACACAAATACACACACACACCCCACACACACACACACACACACACACACACACACACACACACACACACACACACCCCACACACACACAATCCTGAAGCGGAAGCCACTGTTAAGGGGTTACCAAAATTACCAGCGAGTGTACCTCGACCGTGACAGAACACATGAAAAAAGGAAACAACTGAGAGAGAGAGAGAGAGAGAGAGAGATAGTAAGAATGTGCTAGAGGTACGAGTTAGGGACAGGGCAGGTACCGGCAGACGGAGCACATTCTCAAAGGGAACAGCAAACACAACTGTACACAGACCCAGCCACAACATTCCCTCAACCCTTTCCACCCCACACCAACCAAACACAATAACAAGAGCCAAGCTACATTCCACATCCACAGTCCCCACCCATCCCAGCACTAATACTATCAGACTAGCAAATTACCATAATATTCAAGCCCGCCTACCACACCCACAGCCAGCACCAACCCCTCCCTTCCCAGATTGAGTGCCAGGAAAGAATCACTGAGGCATCCCCAGACATCATAGCAATCACACAGACAAAGCTCACGGAAGTAAGAAATGCGATCTTCCCGTCTGGTTACCAGTTGCTGAGGAAAGACATGGGGGCGGAGGAAGAGATATTGCACTGCTCAACAAGAGCCAGTGGACTTTTGAGATGAGCGGACTAGTCAGAGGGGTAGCAGATAATTACATAGGAGCACTGCATACTGGGGGCCTAAAAGTGGTAGTAGCACCGAACAGCAGAAGGTCAAGACATGAATATGACAAGAGCAACAGAGTGATGGACACACTAGCAGACATTACCAGAAGGGTCCACATGAGTAGGGCAAAGTTACTCATCATGGGGGATTTCAACCATAAGGAGACTGGAAGAATCTGGAGAGACATCGGGGCTCCAAACACGGAGAGCCAAGATGCTGGAGGCAGTACTAGAAAACTTCATGTACCAACATGTAAAGGACATAACCAGAGAGAGAGAGAGAGAGGAGATGAACCAGCTAGGCTAGACCTTGTATTCACCTTGAGCAGATATCGCATAGAAGATATCACACACATACGGTCCCAAGGCGCTAGTGACCATGTAGTCTTGAGTTTCGAATACATAGTGAAGTTAACAATGGAGAGTAAAGGAGAACAAAAGGATGGGAGAAGCCAGTCTTTCAAAAAGGGGACTATACATACATGAGACATTTTCTACATGAGGTGCAATGGGTGAGTGAGCTACAGGGAAATGATGGAACACGTGACAACCAAGTGCAAGGAGAAGTTTGTACCAAAGGGCAACAGAAACAATGGGAAGACCAGAGTGAGCCCAAGGTTTACCAAGAGGTGTAGAGAAACCAAAGCCTGTGCAAGAGCATGGAAAGAGAATAGAAGGCAAAGGACCCAGGAAAACAGGGAGATGAGTCAAAGAGCCAGAAATGAATATTCATGAATAAGGGGAGAAGCCAAGCATCAATATGAGAATGACATAGCATCAAAAGCCAAATCTGACCCAAAGTCAGTACAGCCACATCAGAAGGAAATAACAGTCAAAAATTAGATATTCAGGTTGAGGAAGGAAGGAGGGAGCTCATAGGGAACAACAAGATTCGGGGAGGTATTCACAGTGGAGACAGAGAGGCTCCCAGAAAAGCGAGGTGGCAGGGTACACCAGCATGTGCTGGACACACTGCACACAACCAAAGATGAGGTGAAGAAATTGCTAGGGGAATTAAATACCTTGAAGGCGGTGGGCCTAGATAATTCTCATTGGGTCCTGAGAGAAGGAGCAGATTCATTATGTGCGCCACTAACAACAATACTCAATCAGTCTATCGAAATAGGGTAACCACCTTATGTGTGGAAGACAGCAAATGTAATCCCGATTTTTAAGAAAGAAGACAGACATGCTGCATTAAATTACAGACCAGTGTCGCTGACATGTATGTAAAGTTGTGGAGAAGATTTTCAGGAAAAGAGTGGTGGAGCACCTTGAACGGAATGGAATAATACATGACACCCAGCACGGCTTCAGGGAAAGAAAATTCTGCATCACGAACCTATTGGAGTCCTATAACAACGTAACAGAAGTAAGGCAGGAGAGAGAGGGATGGGTAGACTGCACCTTCTTGGACAGTAAAAAGGCTGTCAACAGTTCCACACAAGAGGAGGAAGCAGGAAGAAGAGGGAAAGTACTGCAGTGGATCAGACAATAAATGACAAAGAAACAATGTGTATCAGCCCGTGACGAGGTGTCAGAGCGGGTGCATGTGTCGAGTGGGGCTACACCGAGGTCAGTCCTAGGTTTGGTTCTTTTTTTTTTTTTTTTTGTATGTGAATTATATGACGGATGGGATAGTCAGAGGTGTCCCTGTTTGCAGATGATGTGAAACTAATGAGAAGAATACAAGCGCAGGAGGATAGAGTAAGCCCACAAGAGGATCTGGACAGGCTGCAAGCCTGGTCTGACAAATGGCTGCTGGAGCTTAATTAACTCCAGCAAGTGCAAAGTTATGAAGTTTGGGGAAGGACAAAGGAGACCGCAGACGGAGTACAGCCTAAGAGGTTAAACGCTGCAAAACTCACTCAAGGAAAAGGATCTTGGGGTAAGCATCATACCGAGAACATCTCCTGAGGTGCACATCAACCAGATAACTGCTGCTGCGTACGAGCACCTGGCAAACGCTGTACACCGTGTACGTCAGGCCCATATTGGAGTATGCAGCACCAGTATGGAACCCACCCCTGGTCAAACACGTCAAGAAATTAGAGAAAGTGCAAAGGAATTTCGACAAAGAGACATTCAAAACCCTATATGCAACACATGACAGACCAGTCTTGGAGTACGCAGCACCAGCATTGACCCTGCACCTGACGAACCATGTCAAGAAACTAGTGCAGAGGTATACAACGAGACCACCTGTAGAGGTGAGGGGCTATCAGCTATATACCAAGGAACTGATCCTGATGACATTAGAGAAAATAAGAAGGGTAGACATAAGAGCATGAAAAATACTCAGAGAGAATTGTTAGGGAAGACGGAGATAAACTAAGAGGCGAGAAACAGGTACACAGGGGCATAACTGGAAGTTAAAGACAGATGAATCATAGGAATGTCAGGAAGAACTTTGATCTCAGGAAGGAACTGGAAAGACCGTAGCGAGGATATGATGAAGGTACGCTCCATTCATAGTCTTAGAAGCAGGTACGACATGACCCTAGAAACTAGGAGGGGCTGACTCTGACAAGCAGCAAGTTAAGAGGTAGGAGCTTACATTGACCCTTCCAACCACATATAGTAAGTAAGCATCAACCGAACAGCCTATGTAGATAATATTCGTTAAGGAAATCAAAGAGAAGGGGTCCAGGACACGACAAGGACTGGGAACAAGACATGGCCGTGGACAAGGCAAGGACTGAGGACAAGACAAGGCTGTGAACAAGGTAAAGGACTGTGGACAAGGCATGGCCGTGGACAAGGCAGGTACTGAGAACAAGGCATGGCCGTGAACAAGGCAGGAACCTCAGACAAGATGGATTAAGACATAAATGAGTCAGAGACGTCAGGAAATATTTCATCAACATGTGTGGTCAGTAAGGTTCAGTAAGAGGTGGAGACAGATTATATACATAGTTTAAGTAATGTTTCCTGCTTTCCAAACACAAGAGGAATTATCCTAACTAAATATTTTCATACTGGGAAAATGGTAACTAGATGCAGTGTATTTCTGTTGCCGCAAAATAAAAACGGAAAGTTGCGGGAAGAAAAATACAATAAGGAAAAAGTAAGGCAACTACTTAAGGTTTCCCTTCGGGGATATTTAAAAAGGCTTTTAAATATTTCACTTAAAGGGTAAAAGTGAAATAAAAAATTCCTGGAGATACTGGTTTTAAATCTATATATTAGAGGCTGATTCAAGGGCAAGAGCTCTTGAATCAGCCTTTAAACTCATAAAAGGTAAATACACACATAAAAACTTGAAAATTCTCTGTACAGATGAATTAAATTCTCTTTTGCTTTCTCCCACAGTTGATTACTACTCTCCACGCTTCCTGGTCCACGCGGCCACCGCCGTCCTTCCAGTCAACGCAACAGGTCAGTCCTGCTCACAGGTTAATCCGCTTCAAAGATCAGTTTAAATGACAGGTCCGTCCAGGTCGCAAGGCTGTCCAGAGTACATGTTCTTATCACAAGAAAATCCCTGTTAGAGGTCAGGTCAGTCATCGCCAAGAGCAAGAGCAGGTCAGAGGACAATTCATCATCACACACACAAGTACAGTTAGCAGGACAGCCATACAAAGGAGCCTCCTAATTCGACGACGGCGAAGAATGAAATTCAAGTCTGTAGGAGCAGATTTAATCATTGTATGTGTAAAATAGTCATTTTTTTTATTCCCATTGAATTTATTTAAATAAATTTCAGTTTACCTATTCGAAATTACTTCGTTATTTAACGGTTGATGCATCTTAGGGTCAGGATACTACCTTTGGTGGGCTTTATTAAAACACAGTTTGTAACTCACTTTAAGCTGTGTATATTTCAATTTGCAACTTCTGTGGAATAAATTGTTTTCGTCTCGATAACTAGGGAATGTTTCTGGTCGATTGTGAATCTGACGGTGGGTCTTAATAGGTAATATTTTTATAATTTTTAGGCTGTGTAGGTCCCAATTTGACAATTTTTGTGCCACTTTTTTTAAAAGCGATAATAAAAAAAATTATCTTAAAGGATTATACGAAATTTTCAATGCAAAATACAAACGAGAAAGAAGAATGAAAACAAGAAAATTGTCTTTTTATAGTGTTTTCTTTACTTATTCACAAATTTTTGCATTTTGCTCTAAGATGCCTTAATCAATAAGTTTAAAAAAAAAAACGCTAGAGTAATGTATTTTGGGTAAGATTCACGGGACTTAGCATGCATGACTGTCCGGTACACAGTGTTACACAGGTCAGTCTTAAACTGTGTTTTCCTATCACAGGTGAAGACAGGCTCATCAAATCTGCTTCAAAATTTCTAAACTCGTGTATCGCACTTAGAAGAATGCTGTTGTTGTTAATGTAGTGTGCCATTCTTATTTTAATCTCGAAATAGTATAGTATTATTTTACCTTACTGCAAGATTTTGTCTTAATGCTGGCGCGGGCCATTGATCCGAGGAACCGGACTTATCCACCTAGATCGAATTCAAGTGCCTCCCATTCCATAGGTGCTATATGACTTCTACGGGTTTAAAGGTGTTTTTTTATGATTAAAATATAACAATTCTGGACGCCATCAATCTTCAACTGAGGCCTGGTCACAGACCGGGCAGCGGGGGCGTTGACCCCTGGAACTCTATCCAGGTAATGGCTGCTGCATCGTCTAGTCAGCACATGCATCGTCTAGTAAGCACATGCATTGTCTAGTCAGCACATGCATTGTCTAGTCAGCACATGCATCGTCTAGTCAGCATATGCATCGTCTAGTCAGCACATGAATCGTCTAGTCAGCACATGAATCGTCTAGTCAGCACATGCATCTAGTCAGCGCATGAATCGTCTAGTCAGCACACGCATCGTCTAGTCAGCACATGCATCGTCTAGTCAGCACATGCATCGTCTATCAGCACACGCATCGTCTAGTCGGCACACGCATCGTCTAGTCAGTACATGCATTGTCTGGGCAACACATACATCTTCTAGTCAGCACATGCATCGTCTAGTCAGCACATGAATCGTCTAGTCAGCACGCGCATCGTCTAGTCAGCACATGCATCGTCTAGTCAGCACATGCATCGTCTAGTCAGCACATGCATCGTCTAGTCAGCACATGCATCGTCTAGTCAGCACATGCATCGTCTAGTCAGCACACGCATCGTCTAATCAGCACACACATCGTCTAGTCAGCACATGCATCGTCTAGTGAGCGCATGCATCGTCTAGTCAGCACATGCATCGTCTAGTCAGCACATGCATCGTCCAGTCAGCACATGCATCGTCTAGTCAGCACACGCATCGTCGAGTCAGCACATGTATCGTCTAGTCAGCACACGCATCGTCTAGTCAGCACATACATCGTCTAGTCAGCACATGCATCGTCTAGTTACCTGGAGTTTACGTGGAGAGAGTTCCGGGGGTCAACGCCCCCGCGGCCCGGTCTGTGACAGGCCTCCTGGTGGATCAGAGCCTGATCAACCAGGCTGTTACTGCTGGCTGCACGCAAACCAACGTACGAGCCACAGCCCGGCTGATCAGGAACCGACTTTAGGTGCTTGTCCAGTGCCAGCTTGAAGACTGCCAGGGGTCTGTTGGTAATCCCCCTTATGTATGCTGGGAGGCAGTTGAACAGTCTCGGGCCCCTGACACTAATTGTATGGTCTCTTAACGTGCTAGTGACACCCCTGCTTTTCATTTGGGGGATGTTGCATCGTCTGCCAAGTCTTTTGCTTTCGTAGTGAGTGATTTTCGTGTGCAAGTTCGGTACTAGTCCCTCTAGGATTTTCCAGGTGTATATAATCATGTATCTCTCCCGCCTGCGTTCCAGGGAATACAGGTTCAGGAACCTCAAGCGCTCCCAGTAATTGAGGTGTTTTATCCCCGTTATGCGCGCCATGAAGGTTCTCTGTACATTTTCTAGGTCAGCAATTTCACCTGCCTTGAAAGGTGCTGTTAGTGTGCAGCAATATTCCAGCCTAGATAGAACAAGTGACCTGAAGAGTGTCATCATGGGCTTGGCATCCCTAGTTTTGAAGGTTCTCATTATCCATCCTGTCATTTTTCTAGCAGATGCGATTGATATAATGTTATGGTCCTTGAAGGTGAGATCCTCCGACATGATCACTCCCAGGTCTTTGACGTTGGTGTTACGCTCTATTTTGTGGCCAGAATTTGTTTTGTACTCTGATGAAGATTTAATTTCCTCGTGTTTACCATATCTGAGTAATTGAAATTTCTCATCGTTGAACTTAATATTGTTTTCTGCAGCCCACTGAAAGATTTGGTTGATGTCTGCCTGGAGCCTTGCAGTGTCTGCAATGGAAGACACTGTCATGCAGATTCGGGTGTCATCTGCAAAGGAAGACACGGTGCTGTGGCTGACATCCTTGTCTATGTCGGATATGAGGATGAGGAACAAGATGGGAGCGAGTACTGTGCTTTGTGGAACAGAGCTTTTCACCGTAGCTGCCTCGGACTTTACTCTGTTGACGACTACTCTCTGTGTTCTGTTAGTGAGGAAATTATAGATCCATCGACCGACTTTTCCTGTTATTCCTTTAGCACGCATTTTGTGCGCTATTACGCCATGGTCACACTTGTCGAAGGCTTTTGCAAAGTCTGTATATATTACATCTGCATTCCTTTTGTCTTCTAGTGCATCAAGGACCTTGTCGTAGTGATCCAATAGTTGAGACAGACAGGAGCACATAAATCGTCAGCACATACATCGTCTAGTCAGCACATACATCGTCTAGTCAGCACATACATCGTCTAGTCAGCACATACATTTTCAGTGTTCATGTTTGTTTACCTTAAAGCAGATTTAACCATTTTATGCACAAAATATTGTTTTTTTTTTTTTGCGTTAAATCACGTTCAAGAATTTCATTTTTGTCTCATCTCAACAACTTCATAGTTTAAAGACAACTAAGTTGATGTGCTGGAAAATTTGTTGACTCAGTAAAATAGCAAAAACAAAGGTCGTGGTAGTAGTAGATTCGCGGGTCTTGCCGCGACCCTCGACAAGACCCGCGACAAGACCCGCGACAAGACCCGCGACAAGACCCGCGACAAGACCCGCGACAAGACCCGCGTCAAGACCCGCGACAAGACCCGCGACAAGACCCGCGACAAGACCCAGGTGGTGACCCGGAGAACTCAGTGAACGACTCGTCTAATCGACTTGAAATTTTGACCATAGTTTCTTGGACACAAGATGCATGTTGCTATAGCTGCATGTTGCTATTGGCTGCTATAGCTGCAAATTTGCAGATTTGTAGAATAGTGAAATTAATTTTTATTCAAAAGTTAATGAATGCTTCTAATTGGCTTCAAAAATATTTACGATGTAATTATATAGTTGATGATGTCCTTGTGTTTAATGTTAGTGGCTGCGGACTTCAATTTTATTGAAATAATTAAAAGAAAATATTCTGAATCGTTAGAATCAGATTAATTACTAAAAAATGCACTTCTTGATCTTCTAGGTTAGGTTAGGTAAGGTTTGTCAGGAAACAGGGCTAGTGTTTCCTGACGCGGGTCTTAGATGATGACCCGCCTTTGGAGCTTTGGTCATCTGACCGAGGCCTTCCGCTGGCTTACCGGTCCACCCCTTTAAAAATAATGGTCATTTATAGCCAATTATCCTGATCTTCTTTAAACTTCTTGATCTTATTTAAACTTCTTGATCTTATTTAAACTTCTTGATCTTATTTAAACTTCTTGATCTTATTTAAACTTCTTGATCTTATTTAAACTTCTTGATCTTATTTAAACTTCTTGATCTTATTTAAACTTCTTGATCTTATTTAAACTTCTTGATCTTATTTAAACTTCTTGATCTTATTTAAACTTTTAAAACACATTTTGTCACTCACTTTGAGCTATGTAAATTTCATTTAGTAATTTTTTAAAGTTTTCAAATATCATAACTAGAAAATACCTCTTCCGATCGTCTTCAAACCCTAAAAACTGCCGTGTTTTAATTTGGTGCTGTGTGGTTGCCAGCTTATCTTTTTTTTCGGCAAATTATATCAAATTGGAATTAAAATGCTCAGAATCAAATATTTTTTCTATAAAAGATTGATTTAAAGATTAACGAGGAGAGACTTTAATATTCTAAGCAAGAATTTCGTTTGCTTTCCCGTATTTTTTTTTTAATATTCGAGAACGTATTATTCGATCGGCTTTAAATTTTCAACACTTGCGTAATGAAACCGGGAAAAGATTCATGGGTTTATCTACATACGTGGGTAACCTATGCACAATGTTACATAGGGCATTCCCAAATTTTCTTCGAGTGTGACAGGTGGAGACAGACCCCTCTGATCAACCTCAACATTACTACACTCACGTATGTGATGAATGGTTTGAAAAACCGACAAGTTGAAGACTGAG